ATGTAGTTAGCATGGTGGTGGAAACAGGAAAAATATGTCAGAAAGTAACAGGTATTCAGAAGATCTATTTCTAAAGATCATAATAGCATTAAAAATGAGCAAACAAGAAACAGAATGACACTTTCCACAGTCATAGTATTTACATAGTATGCTGCAATTTCTCCATTTCTAAGGCTAATATCTGTCAGAGAAGTAGCAGGGGGGAAAAATAGAAACTGATCTACTCAGGCATTCTTAGGGGTTTTTTTGCTTTTCTGCAGTACGCTTTCAAAATAGAGATGAAAATGTTACTGAGTTCCACAAACCAAATGCAACCCCATGTAATCCAACTAAATCAGCAGTATTGCATCTTGGTGAATTCATCCCTGCAATTCAGAGTACATAACATTGGGTTCAAGGTGCTCATGTATCAGGGCAATAGATATGTCACCCTTGGAAGACACTGGCATGTCAGCTAGCTTGCTTCAGGGTCACAAGTTGACACGGGGAACTATTTGGAAGGCTTTCCTTTGGGAAACTCCCTCCTGAGTAGGGCAGTTCAAGAGGAAATATTAATAAATGCGTATGCTAGGAAAAGCATGGCATATTCTGCTGTTCTCCAAATGAGAAATACAGGCAAGTCCATCAAACTAAACAAAACACATTTGGGGGAACTTCACTTAAGTTTTTATTTCTACGTATTCTGGAACAAAAATATTAATTCTAGATACCTTGTCAAAATTATGAGTACATACGTTTAAGAAATGTATTCTATTACACCAGCTAATAACAGTATGTTATGTTACTCTATCTGGAGTTAGAATCTATTTATATTAGCATCTTTTTTAATTTTTCTTTTAAACTTTAATGATATTCCTTGGAATGTATACCAGTGAAAGAGTTTGCAACTCAAAATCATTAAGATGCTAACAGTAAAATGTATATGTACTGTGGGATCAGACTAGACAGTAAGGGGGTGGACAGAGCTTTTGGTGAGACTTGGGGGAGAGTCAAAATTAAAACAGAGTGCAGTATGGGCAATGGGGCCACAGCCCCAAGGCTTATTCTGGCGCTCTGAGCATCAGTTTTATTGCGTGATGGATGTTGCTCTTGAAAGCAAAGTGGATGACAAAAGTAGGTAAGTTCCCTTATCTTTCAACCAGTTCATTTCTTAGAACCAATCAAGCCAATCACAGCGACTTCTGTTATGTAGCAGAGAGAGGTTACACATAACCTGGAATTGCAACTTCCTGCACAAGCTTCACGCCTGTGCACCTACGTAATGTTGCTATCTGTGTCAATGGGCTTGGACACACCCATGCTCTGCATAGTGACCTTTTTCACAAGCTGACTGTAAAGAAATTAAAATAGACTGTGTGTGCAGTTCTTCTGGCCTCCTGGATGGGTCAAGAGAAGTTTACAGGTTGCCATGTATAAAGTTCAGTTTCTGCAAAGAGGAGCATAGTGCCAATAGGGAAAGAATGGTGGAAAACATTTAGCAGCCGTTAATTCTAGTTAACTCTAAACATTTAGAGTGCAGTCAATGCATGTATTTCAGAATAAATTAAAGGTGTTCTCACAGTACTTGAAGGTCCACTTAAGACTTCCTAGAATCCCTGAAAGATAAATCTAAGTAAATCCAAGGCCTTCAGTTGTCTCTGCAATGGGCTGCAGATGCACAGTGTGTGAAACATGTCAGGTATTTTCATAGATTGTATTATTTCTATTCTGTATGTATCACATCATACAGGTGTCTGCAGTTGTATGAACTGAGTATATTGAGTGTGTTTTCTGAAGCATTTTATGATTTTATGCTGATGCATTCATTTAAGTGCTGATGTGTTTATGGGGTTTTCTTTTGCAGTGGTGTGGGGTTTTTTGTATTGGAAATATACCTAATAAAACCACAAATATAGTAAGTGCAGAAGTAGAGATATATTAATTACAGAATATAAGCATGATCACTGTGTGACTAGACTGATGACAGTGAGGAGGATGAATATTGTAACAAATCAACACTGAGCTAAAAATAAGATAGTAACAAATGAGGTAACATTAAAAAAAAAAATCCTCATCTTGATAGATACTGACTCCACATTCCTTTTTGTTTCTTGATGCTTAAATGCTGACTTACATTTGAAGACTTGCATCATGTTTGTTGTGCAGGGGAGGAATTTGATAGGATGACAGACACGTGCTTTGTAACATCACTGTGCTGTTACCCAAGAAATTACTAATTTGTATTGTGAGCTGCTCTCCTTGTAGGGGATGTAAGTGCTGTGTAGCCAGATATGTTAAACTGGAGAGCACTATTCAATAGAGTGGGAAGTGATTACATTTATCATAACCTCGTATTCTTGTGTGAGCCACGTGAAAACATTCCCTCTATCCCTCATGATTAATTTACAGATGTGCAGTATATTTTACCCCTCTAGTAATGAAATTATTTCAGATCTTGCTGTGGGTGAAATTAGATTACGGTCTCTGGAAAGGAGACCATGTTCAGGTTATATGAAGTCCAAAATCTTGTTATTTCATCACTTGTGAGTTCTTCAGTTGTGTTTTTAAAAAGAATATTATTTTCCTTTTTTGAATTATGCTTTGCAAAAGGGGCTCAGAGGCTACCATTGTTCTCCATTTCTTAAGTGATGAAACTAATACATATTTGCAACAATGTGAACTGAAGCCTTATCATATAGAGGAGCATATATTGTCCTCCGTACAGCGTCTCAATTAAGCTTAGAAGATTCTTTCTCACTATGCGGACTCTTGCTCTTTTCCAAACAGGAAGTTACCAGCAAAACCTCTATAAAAAGATTAGTAAGGTAAAAATCAGGATGTGAAAACAATTTCAATTTCCTGCCGCATCTATCCAGTTGTGTCAAGTGATCCTTACTATTTCTTCACAAGTTCTTTGTTTCTCTTTTATCTAGTTAGCTTTTTCAGTAGTACAGAAGCCAAGAGAAGGAAAATATGATGGATTATGCAGTAACTAAGGAAGTTAATTCATAGCCACTTAAATGTGTGGCTTTAAGAGCTGTTATTGCACTTCTTATCCTTTATTTAGTTCCTACAGAGAATTAAAGGTATGTGCGTAGTTAATAAATTAAATTACAGGTAGCGATCTCTTTCCAGCTGAGAGATTCAATGACTTGAGCAATTAGTCTGCTCGTTAGGCTCAAATCGTTAAAGCCACAGAGATTCTAACACAGTGCTTGTTAGAAATTCTGAAACTGTGAGATTTCAAGCAAGTCTTTTGCCTCTGTTTCAGTAAAGGAATGTAATAAACTAGAGCTTTTCCTGAGAATTATCAGCAAGTACATGGGGAGCTTCTTGAAGACTTGCTACTTGACCAATTACATTTGTATTGATGGAGGTCAGATGGGATTAATATCTAAAACTACTGATGATAACAGTTGAGGGAGAGTGGGGGGAACAACAAAACAACCAACAAAAAAACTTAATGCTTTCAGCTCTTCTGACCAACTATTGAAGTCTATGGGAGATTGTCTATGAATTGTAGCTCAGAACGTTAGAGTATATGTACAGAACAACTGTGATAGCAGTTTCCACTCTCTCTGCAGAACTGGAGGTAGAATGCAGAGCTTTTTGTTCACCACTGCACAATCATGAAAGGGACAGAAAGACCTGCAGTTCTTAAAAGCAATGTATGAGTTTGCCCAGGAGATCTATTGGCTACAGCTCAGCTGTTCATGCGTGGCCCTCAAATATTTCTGTGTGTCTGCTATTGAGATAATAAAGGGCTGTGTTCCCATAGCACAAATGGGATACAAATATTTTCTGCTACACCCAATCCTAATACTGTAGGATTTCCAAGGTATTTTATAAGCAGGTATCAGTCCTGTGTAAGTTAAATGTAACTGTTCGTGCAGATGCATAAGAATACAAAAATCTACTTCTTTAGAAGATGAAATTCAGCCTAGAATTTCAGTAAGCAGAGAAGACCTAATGCTGAGATGCAACCAGAGAAATAGCCTTGACCTTTTTACAGACCAGAGAGATCTTCTGGATAAAATGGATCTCTCCTAATGAAGGTCTTATGAACACTAAGCATGAAAATTACTCTATACAGCCAGCAGAGGAATACAGTGAAAGGCAGGAGCTTCTCTACTGTGTCTTGGGACATGAAATAGCAAAAAGAAAACGGTAGAAGACTTGTCCTACTATAAAACAGTGGAGAAAAATCAACAAGGCTTCTCTGAGAAGTAATATTACATGACTGATGTGGGCATCTCATGAAAAATGGAGTGTGTATAAATGAATCTGTGTTTAAGCCAGTGGTGATGCCAGGGGATTCTTCTGTTCTAACTAGTAGCTAGTGAATGCAAAATGCTTTCCAAAACCACATTGTGAGGCTGACTGTCAAAACTATAGCTCACTTCTTCTTAACAATTATACTATGTCAGCCGGGGGAAAAAAAAAAGTATTTTTAACATCATATGTTCCTCACAGTAAACAAACCTATTTATTCTGGTACTGGTACTCTGCTGTCTGTCTTGATTAAAAAGTTATTTGTTTGTTCTCCTAGACAGTGACTTTGGAAATACCTTCCATTTCTGAGATGGTACAGTTTTACATATTGCATCAAATAAGCCATCCTTCTGCTTAAAGGAAAGGCAGTGAATGGGTTTAATGGTACCTCTGGTACTGAATGATTAAATCCCATTTTTCTGTTGTGATTTTTATGCTTCATAATAGGTTTTGCACATCTGTAAAAACTGTTTTCCTTCAAAATTCCAGTAAACATTTTTCCCCACACCTACAAAGCAGGACAAATATCAGGATGGCAGTATACTGTAAGTACTTCCTATATTGCTAGCTCTTATTGTCTTGCCAATTTCTTTCAGCTCTGTTTCCCTTTCTTTCTCCCATCTTATATAATAAGCTCTATGGGGCAGGAAATCTCCTTGCAATTTTATGTTCATTCATAAACTAACATACTGAAACCCTGACATACGAATATGAATTACAGGCATGGGTATATTCAATAAAATAATTACCTGTGCAACTTAGCCTGATGTGAAACAGGTCTTGATGCTATAAAGGCAATGTAAAGGGACCTGTGATGAAATAAGATTAGGAAAGTATGAGCAAGATCTCTGAAAATCTAATTGGCATGTTTTGCCTAATACGCTTTAGCATCTTGTAGTCTGAAGAGGTGCTCTGTTGCCATTTGTAGAAGTCAAAGATTTAAATTTGGTCTTATATCACAGAAATTGAGCCACCTGCATCTGAGCTGTGTATCTGCGCCTTGGTCATGAGATTGTTTATAGGCAACTTTGCTGCTTTTCCCTGTGTTCTCTGAGATGTGACATCAAAAGGGTAGGGAGTAGTCCAGAAGCATTGTAATGTCATGGCTGTTCAGTTGGGACACTCTTTCAATTACAGTCGTGAGGAGTGGGTCTTTCCAAGTCCCGTTGTGGGTACTGTAAGGCAGAGGAACAAATGTAGCAGTGGTCTTTTCATGCACACACAAATTGTACTTGGGAAGCGCAACAGTAATTTCACGCTCCCCCAGGATACATGGAATCTGTCCCTGAGGACAGAGACACAAAATTCTTGCTAACTTTCTGAATTCAGAATATTCTAGAATATGGAAGATAGGCACTATACGTACAAAGGGGATGTACTGGAAAGGATATTCCCAGTTTAGTTCTGCCTAAGCGAATCTTCATGGATTACTAACAAAGTACAATGCCTACATTACTCAGAATTTGTCACAGTTAACACAATCCTTTTCATGTAGGAAATAACATCTGTCCAATCTCCAAAAGAAGGACATTTAACCAGTAACTTGTCTGTATGGGTAATAGTGCATAGTTACAGTGCTTGGCCTGAGCTAATTTCTTTGGGAACACACATATGAAAAAAGAAAAAGCATATGGCAACTGATCTGGAAGACAAAGAAATAGACATTTCAGAGGGTTTCTGAGTCAAGTTAGCTGTATGGTGTTTTTTGTTGTTGTTGTTGTTGTTGTTGTTTTAATACTTAAGCCACATGACAGTGCATTTCAGAGTCACTGCAACTGCAATTCAAAACTCAAAGTAAGAATGGATTAGAAAAGTTCTTCACTCATGCCAAGAATTTTAGGCGTGAGATTCACTTTTTGCTTGTTTTTTCCTCCTCCATCAGCATGAGAGATTGCATTTTATAACATCTGTGCTTAATTTGTATTGAAGAACTCTGTAGAAACTTATCTCCATTCTAGGTTATGAGAAAATTATCATCTTCTCTGGGGTAAGGAGGTTTTGGATATAGTATCTAAAAGACTGTTACAGGTTTGACATGTGCAAGCTTAGGCTTCTTAGACAATGCATTTAGCACTACCAACAAAAGCAGGTTTCCACCTCTGCCACGCAGTTTCTCATAGTGCTGGTAGCCAGGTTGAACCGAATGAGCCACATTGAAAAAAAATTTGCATGGTGAAAGGACTGTGTTATGGCTTCACTAAACACCAGGTTGTAACAAAGATACAAAATCAGAAAGCTGCAAATATGAATGAAATTTGAAATAGTTTGGAGGATTTATTATAAACACGTACACGCTTTAGAAGGCCTCTGGCACTAAAAAGCCCCAATGCCTATCCTCTAACTAAATTAAATTCATTTCCATTAGAATTCAGCAGATGCAGCAGCCCTGTTTTCATTCCCAGGGGGTACTTTCTCCTTGGTAGCAATGCCAGATACCCTTTTGCTTTTTTAATGTCTAACTGTTAGGCAGCAATCCAGAAGGCGACAATAATATCGAAAGAAAAGGAGAGGCTCACTGTAAATAGCTGTTAAAAAAGAGGAAAAGGTTCAAGCGATCATTGGTTAAAGCAGTTTCTTAATAGTCTTCCTAGCTAAAAAGAAAAAGCAAGATCTGCCATCCTGAAAAACACAGTGCACAATTATCAAAGTTGAACCTGATGGAGCAGACATTGCAAAAGGATACAAAATAGTCAAAATTGAATTGGAAGTGAGGAGAGGTAGCAGTTGTAGTAGTTGAAATCAAGTTATTTCCTGTATCCATGAGTACAGTAAAATATTTCTTCTCAGTAAACAAAAAATTACTTTGGATGCAGCGCTATAGAAACTCTGCAGTCACTGATGAGAGTTTTGACAAGGTTAATTAGTTGGATTTTCCATATGAATAACAATTCCTTTCTAAAACTCAGTTTTCCTGCTGCTTTGATGTACAGCTGGGGAAGATGCTGCTTTGATTAGTTACCAGGACAGGTCACATCCTAGGGCTTCCCACTGTAGTTACAGGGGTTGTTTATTGGAAGCTCGCAGATGAAATGTATTTGTTGTGGAAATTGTCTACGGTTTTAGGTTTAAAGAGACAGACATGTTTGATGAAACTACTGCAGTCCATTTCTTCAGAACTGGTCCCCAGATAGAGTGCTCTGGGGTCATACAGGGGTTGAATTGTTCTATTGCTATGGCAGTAGCTTTCCCTAGCACACATTCAAAATTCCTAAATATGTAGGATGGCCAACGGCAACAACAGCTCTGCAGCAAGGAATGCCCCTGTTGTGGAGTTCATGATCTCCTGAGGGATTTTGTCCATTAGCACCCTCCTCAGACTTCCTTTTTTAAGGATGAATGGGTTGCAGTGGAGAGAGGCCTGCAACAGTCTCAGCTTGACATGATATACTTTCAACTGCGTATTATTTAAAAAGCAAGATGGTGACATGGTAGGCTTTCCTAATGCTGCACGTAAGGCTGTGCAGGCATACAGTATTTTATAATGTCTTGAAGTGCTTCCCTGGGGTGTGCCTCTTGGAATTCAGTCCTAGCTTGCAGAGTCTATGTGGCAATGGATGCACCGTGCAATGCTTCTCTTTATCCCCACAGGGCTAGCAGGATAGGATTTGTTCCAGAATTATTACAAAGGATGTGTATTTCACTGTGTTCAAATATGGCACTAATTTTCTTTCATTTCAAGAGAAATAAAGTTCTAAGCAGTATCACAACTGAATATAGGCAAAGCTAGCACAAGATTTCTGTTTAACATCTTATTGAAAGTTGTTACTGTGTCACCCAAAAATACTTTGGAAGATGATATCTTTATGCAGCTGACAAGCTATAAATTCTCTCAGGCAGCTCTGTGAATGTATGATCTTCCCATGAGCTTTTCATTTTAAGCAAATGCATAGAATAATCAAAACAAGTTAGGATGTATTTTTAGCTACCTAGGAGTTGATACATAACTGGGCTTACTTTTCTATGTGTGCTTAATCTTCATTGAATGAAGGCTAATCACTAAGAAAAATTTATTTCACTCTAAACAGGGATGTCCTCTCCACATAACAAGAAAAAAAAAAAAGGAAAATAGTAAACATAAATGAGTGCAGAAAATTAAAATGACAATATTTATGTTCAGTATGTTCAGTGTCAGCATACCTATTAGGATGGCTAACCTATTTTTGCCACTTATATTCTTTGAATTATTCTGTTGCAAAACAGACTGGGTTGTTTTGTTTTTTTTTTTTTCTTATGTGCTTGTTTGATTTTGATTCTTTTTTCCTTTTTTGTTTTTTTTGGTTTTTTTTCTTTCTTTTGAGACCATGGATAGCACCACTTTAGTAAGCTCAGTGAGTAAAATGAAGGCTGCAACTCAAAAGCCTCCCCTGTGTGGTACTGGCAGAATGGGAAGAGCTGAAGCAAGAGGTGCTATGATGGTAAATGATATCACAGTAGCAAGAAAAATCACATATAAAATCAATGTAAAATAGGCACACATATTGAAGTACATTATAATGCCTCAAGCTTTATCTGTACTCAGGTGTGAAAAACAGAATATTGTCTCTTGTAATTTTCCCTCTTCTTTGGTAAATCGAAAGTGTCAGGGATAAAGCCCATAATCAGATTTTGTTGTGGCCGACAGCTTCTTTGGTGAGCCTCCCCAGTTTTATAACCCTCATTATGCCCTGTGGTGTCTGCTCAGACCAAAGTCCCAGCAAAATGAAAAGGAATGTTGCATGACAAAGAATACCTCATACTCAATATCCTGACTTTGTGCTGCTTCCAGAACCTGATGTAAGGTGTTATATTTAGCCAGTGCATGACTTGCTGATGTATTTCTGGTGACGTGACATTCTTGAGAACGATAATGACTCTAAATACATTTTAAAAATGAACAGGAATGGGAATAAAGCAGACTGTTACCGTAATACATGTTCTTGAAGCATTTATGCCTTGATGACCATCCCAAGTATGCTGAAGAAATGTTATGGAGAAAAACCAACCCTCCCTAATCTCCCTTCATTTAAAGCTGAATGCAAACCTTGCTTCTTTGTCCAAGCCTGCCCACAGTAGTGCTCTCATTCTGACTGATTCATGCAGAAAATGAAAAACAGGAGACTTTTTGTCCCTATTTGTATGGTTAAAGGAAGATGGGGAGGGAGAGGTAGGGGGGAAGGGTGGAAGTATGACCATTTTCTTTGTAGGTGTTTTCATAACACTCTTATTCTGACAAATGTTTGTGACTGTGCTCAGTCATGGGCCTGAGTACAGTCAATAAGTAAGAGCTGAACAGGAACAATGAAACATTCATGCATACTGTGAGAGCTAGAACAGTAGGAGGTGGTAAACGTGGCAGGATCTGAGCAAGGTGTTAATCATGTGCCTCGGGAGATTTGTCCAAGTACAGAAATGGGGATTGTGTTTTCTTATCAGAAAACTTGAAGAGCAGCCATGAGTTTCTGTCAGACTTATTTTACAAAAGCAGAAGAATTTGTAAGCAAGGAAAGTGATGCCACTCTCCTCTTTTCCTCCAGTGTGTTCAAGGAAATCATTTCTTGAATAAATAAGCTTATGCCAAAGATGCACCTATGTCCTACATGAGTCACCTTCTGATAGAAATATTGCAGGACGGCTCTAAATGTTGGCTGTTCGCCTGAACGACAAATAACAATGTAATGCAAAATTTACATGGCAACTACCTGTAATGAAGCTTGGCACAGGACTGAGTACCTCCTGCAAAACTAACTTATGTGTGCTAGCTAAAAATGTTCACATACACCATTTGTTCTGCTGAGTTTGGATCAGAACATTTTATATCACATTTAAGGTCTAGCTAGTGCTTGATTATCTGTGCATGTTGTGTCAAACTGATCCAGATCTAGTAATAGTCCCTGACATATGCAGATTTGTCTTAAAATCATTTTTTAGTAGATGACTTATTTTGTGTATTGTTTCTAATAGCAAACCTACAATTGCATAGTAGGTATTATTGCATAGTAGGTATCGCCCAGTTACGTTGTTCTTCAGATCATGGTGTAAGATGGATTTGTTCCTCCCAGGCATAACCTCCCAAAAACCTTGTCAATGCCTTCATGTCTTGCTTAACCTTATTAAGGACATTCAAATTCCAAAACGTTATTATGTGTTTTATGTTATTTTAAAATCACTTCATCTTGTAATTTTCTTATTGAATCACTAAACAGATAGGAATTTGTATCTGTGCATTTTGTGTGCTGCATGCCCACAAAAATTTCATGACGTTAAGCTATTTTCATGTTAAATAATTATACATTTCATTCTTTACTCAGGAGGAGTCAAATGAAGACTGTATATTTAAATATGTAAGAACTGGGTAATTCAGGAGATTTTAATTGGTTTAAAAGGCTTTTTAAATTTAGTTAAGCAGTTGTAATATAAAGCAGGACAGTGCTGACTGGAACTGTGTTTTGTCTAATGACTACTTATGGACTCTTGGAAAAGAACCTGATGGTCTTAAGTTCCTCTTTGGATTCGTACTGGTGCTTGTGTTGGCTCAACGTGCTGCTACTTTTGTCTTGAAAATCAGAGCCTGTTGTTCTAAAACAGAATCTAGATGAATTACTCCAGCCATGCTGGCAGACAGCCACTTGCTTCCCTTCTAAAATAGCAAGGTAGTAATTGTCTGGAGATATGATGATCACAAATATTTTTGTGGATCTCTGTGAGACATCAGCGCTACTGGATAGCCTACAATTAGTTGATAGATTTTAAAAATATTTTCTAAATAAATACTACATATAGAAGAAATATGTGCAAACTAATTTCACGTTTTCTACATGCTAGGATATCTACAAACTGTCAAGCTGCTGGCTATTATTGGGATGAAGCTGTGGTAAAAGCCAAGTCTTATACCAATTATACAGTGCTTCTGAAGAGTGAGCAGATCTGCTGTTCTCTGAATTCTACAGTTCTGAAAATACTTCTGCAGTATTCTTTAATGTGAATGTGTGTATATTATTTAAAGAGAAACAAGGCACTGTTTCTCCTCAAGAAAAACTTCTTTAAAAGCATTTAACATTTAACATTTTTTCCTGTTAAAGGTTGTTTTTTTTGTCTGTCTAAAACTGTGCCTATTACAAAACCAAAAATTCTTTCACCTTCTCTGTCTTTCTACAGAACTTATTTTCTGTCTCTTCTTTCAATTTCAGCCTCTTACAAATTCTGAAAGTGGTCATAAGTGGTAAATAAATCAAATTAATAATAACTAAAAAAAGTTTTTTTCTAAAAAATAACTGGCATCAGTGAAATCAGTCAATTATTATTAAGGATAGAAAGCCAGTGGTATTTTTTCAGATAGTATTTTAAATATTTGGAGAGTTAGTACATAGCTGCACAGTAATTAATAATAGACTATAATATGCATTTTCTATGAGGATATCCAATGAAGTCAGCTGGTACATCAAGACTGCCAAATCCAACCAGTCTACCATAACATTACTTCTAAAATGAAATATTTATTATAAAAAATACTAAGTTTGGGATTTTATTTATTTACCTTCTAAAACTTCAGCTTCTACTTCGGAAGGTTTTGCTTGTTCCGTTTCTCTGGTGAGATCAAACCCGAGGGGGGTCTGTCAAATGCCACAGACCTTAGAGACAGCCTTGCAGGAAAGAAGAAAAACAGGGCTTTATGTCATGTTCAGTACTCATCAATGCAGTTAGAGGAGTCAGCAATACTGTGTGTGTGTGTACAGATGTGTGTGCATATATGTATGAAACTTTGCAGGTTAGGAGTGGGAAAACACACATACTTCAGAGAATGTGTGCTTTTCACAAATTAGATTTTGTTAATAGTACATATGAAAGTCTTAAGCATATCCCCAAATTGCTTTCTTGTGGATTCCTGTCAGTTCAAAATGTTGCCACTATACAAAATGTGTGATCCAAACATACAAAACAGGTATCAGTGTTTAGAAAAACAATCTTACTTTTTTGGGTAATGGAACTGCTCTAAGTACCTCTGCTATTCTTCTGTCTGGGAACACAGATGTTTTGCAGCCTGTGAAATGAAGAATGCAAATTAAAATAGGTAAATTAATACCTAAGTATTTAAGTAACTGATTTTCCATCTTAATCAATAGTAACACCTCTAGAATTCTCATGAATGTTTGAGACAAAATGTGGAAGTTTGTAATTTTCCTTTCTGTGATACTGGGAAATTATGGACAGTAGAAATCCTTACAGTACATTCACTGTACTAATATATACGAGGATGATATTAATTGGTCAGAAAAAAAGAAGATAAAAATATTTTTTCTTCTATTTTTGTAAATAGAACATATTTTCCAGGTGAACAATGCATATTTCTCATGAAATTCTACTATGTTTATTACTTTTATAAATGGTTATCTTAGATTTCCTTTTATCATTTGTGTAATCACTAATTTGTAATTAGCACACCGTTACCTTTGGATACTTCTCCAACACAAGTGTCAAAATAGTTGTATTTTGATGGACCTGTGTATTCATTTTCCTTAACAACTAAATGTTCTCATTTCATACCAAAAGAAGTAGTCAAACTAGGATATTCAGAACTGTGTAGATTATTCTTCATTACTTTTAGAGACTCTGAGATGCTGCAAGAAGAAAATGCATTTAAGCATCTGTATTTTTGCTGGCTTCAATGATAGTACAAACGGACTTAGATAAGGGTTTATTTGCGGATGCTTTGCTTAGGACTTAGGCACTTAGCTGCCAGGATCAGATGTTACTATGAATGCTCAGAAGCAGTGCTTCTGCCTGAGAAACCAGATCCAGCCACAAAATCTGAGTATCCAGTTCAGCAACCATTGGCAATCATATTTCTCAGTCTCAAGAGAGTGCTACCATGTGTTGCTAGTACACAGCCATCTGCAGAACTGGCAGTTGTTGGTGGCCTGCTTTCATTCTTGAAACAAAGAATGAGGTTTACAGAAATGTAAAATATCACTAATAAACTAAATATCACTTCACATCTTCAGAAATGGAAGGGGGCAAATTGCTTGTATGTTCAACTGAAGCATTTCAAGAATGCACTAAATTTATAATGGGACACTTAAGTTATATATGTTGAGAAACAGTGGAATGCTAAAGACAGATAAACACTAGAATAGGTTTTAGAAGGCAGGTTTTAACATTTCAACTGTAGCAGTCTTTTTATGACCTGTTTAGACAAAGACTGGTCAGAAATAATGAAGGCACGGATGATTCTACCTTGGAGCAGAAAGGTGGCTTATATGACCTTTGAAATGTTTTTACCCTGACTCCCTACTGTGATGGGGCCTGTGTGGTGTTGCTATGGGGTCTGTTCCAGTAAGCTGGACACATTTCAGAGCTGAGGCTGCCAAGAGCAAAGTTAAAGGATGCTGTGGTAAAGAAAGAGGTAAGGAAAAGACCAGTTTCACTGCTCAAGGAATGAGTTTCTACTCTGGGAAAGGCAAATGCTTATAGCTACGCATTGATTTGATATATGATTGTGACTGTATCAATATTTGTTTTTTTCATAAGCAAAAAGTCAGTGCAAGTTTGCAGAATCAAAGCCTTAATCATAGACACGTTTTGTAGTAAACCACGCAGATTGCTGCAAATGATAAGCATTGTGGCTCTTATACCTAAAAATACTGGCTGCTACTGCTATGGAGGTTTTCTTCTTCTTATATACAGAAGACAACTTTTTTTGAAGTTTCTACTACTGAATAGACTTCTCTATGTCTATACAGAAATCAAAGGTAAAAAAAAAAAACAACAACACCTCTAATACTGATAACATGATGCTTCAGGAACACATCCTTCCACAACAAGAATAATACCCTGCTTAATCAGAATGTTTTTCCTTAAGTATTCAGGAAGACAGTCCCACTACAGGTTGGCAGTCATTGCCACGTGCGTAGTTCCTCATGAATGCTTAAGGAGAAAGCTCAGTAACCGCTGCGAAATTACAACTGGGCAGTGAAAAAGTGCGTGTGAGGAAGTTTTGCTTCTATACCAGGTGTTCTATGGCTATAAATAATTGGTATTATTTGCAGTTGGGAAGATTCTTCAATAGCAGGTTTGATGCATATCTTACTGCATTGCTGTGGTGTTGCATGTTGAAGGCAGCTTCTCCAAAGTAATCCGAACAATCTCTGACCTAAAAGCAGAATTGGCAGATTCAACATGGGAATGTTAGATAAAGAAGTGCTTTCTGGTCACCAGCAGGAATGAGGATAGCGAGAACCACCTAACAAATAGTTTGATTACAAATCAAACTAGCCCAGAATTTGCTTTGGTGGCTAATATATATATATATGTGTGTGTATAATATATATATATATGTGTGTGTGTGTGTGTGTGTGTGTGCATGTATATGTGTATATATACGTGTGTGTATATGTGTATGTATATATATATATATATATATAGGTATGTATGTTTGCCATCCTAAATATTTAACTGAA